ATGTGTCGGTCCACAGAGTTAATGTGATCCATGAATTGTGGTACGTCCTGAGATCTGACTTTCACCAGGTGTTTGTAAGGTTGGGGAAACCTGCAGTCAGCTGAGAGTGAAGAAGTCACCTGGATGAGTGATGAAATGTTTCTCCCACTGAAAACATCCAGATGAACAGAATCAACTTTTTGGGATTTACTTACCTGGATGATTGAGCATGCATCAAGACATAGCACTTCACTTACTCCACATTTTGTCATGTCGTAGCCTTATTCCTTATCCTTAAAGGGATTAAATTCATTTTCAACTTCTACATACAATACCCCAAAATGACAAAGTGAAAACAGCTTGTTTGACATTCTTGCACATTTATGCATGCATGTGCATGCAGTGGATGCGAGAGACATGAAGTTCAAAGAACTGTCTGTAGGTCTCAGATGTGGTGTAATCTATATTGATGTACATCATGCGCCACTAGGCGGCAGTACTTACCCACTCAACGGGAAGTGTGTGGCATGTAAAACAGCACGAGAGTAAGCTGTATTAAAGAAAGATTGAGCGGGAGTTTTATTCAAGAGCCCAACACAACATCAGATATGATCTTATCAAAGCACAGATCTTGGTAATGATACAGAAACAGTTCTACAGTATGACGCAGTGGCCTTCTTCATCTGTAAATGCAAGACGTTTGGAATCAAAAGGATCATTCATGGCCAAACCTCAGTGGCCACACGACCAGCTCAAGTGACTGAAGTAGAAGAGCCTGTAGGTCTGGATCAGGGTGGAAGGGCAAAGTGAACCAGGTAGTAATTCTGACAGAGCATTACTCTGTGGCAAGAGGACAACCTTCCAGAAAGACATCTATTTCTGCAACACCAGTCAGGCCTGGTCACTCCTCAGTAAAAAGCACATTACAGCCCACCAGGAGTTTTGCAAAAAGGCACCTGAAGGACTCTCAGGACATGGTCTGAGGGAACTAAGCACTGGCCTATGCTGTGACTACAGTGGAGGATGGTGGGGACAGCATCACATGGAGCCATGACCGAGGCGCAGCTATCAAACTAGCAGGCCATGTTACACACCACAACAGCAGATGCAAGGACTCCCGCAGCCTGAACACCCATTCTCATTTGCTTTTTTTCTTTTAAATGTTTATTTATAAGATTTTAAGTTCAAAGTTACATAACGGCACACCAGACAAAGGACATAAGATTCAAAAACAATAACATTTAAGCACAGAAAAAAAAGAAAAAACAGAAACCAAACACAACAAAAAAAAACCCAAACAGGAAAACAGGAAAGAAAAGGAA